TAAAGCAGAAATACATGATAAGTCCCTCTGGACAAATATTTTATTTAAACAATGATCCCTGCATTAAATATCTGAAACCTCTTTTTGAGCAGAATTCCTTTATTTAATCAATGATTTTCTCTGGACTGATGTCAAACTGACTTTTAACCAGGTGCTAGTGACAGTCGGTTGTTGTACTTGGTTCAGTATGTACATATTTATTCACACTTTGATCCCCTAGAAACCCCCACAAACAATGCACAGATTTCAAACATGAAACTGCTTTGTTTCAGCTTGAAATACTTTTTTTTTTTTTTTTTTAAGAGAAGGAGACCTCTGTTGATAATTTGACTCTTGGCCAACTTCCACCAGATGCGTGTCCGGTCCGTCAGCGGAGGTGATAGGTTTTCATTTTATTCAATGTGTGTGCTTCCACTGTGTCTCAGCTCCGGCAGTCCGCAGGCCGGAGCCCGCCGCATCAATTTAGCGCAGAAAAGCACAAGCGGGACGGGAAGTCAGACACCGATACAACATTAAAACATCCGGTTAATTTTCAAAATAAAACACTCCATTTTAACGGTTCAGAAAAACGACTGTTTGTGTGTTTGTTAATGTGTTTATAAGGTTTGTATAGGGTTGCCAGTTAGTTTGTTTAATTATCGCGGGAATTCCTTTGCCTTGGCACTCCAGCTGATGGCTGTGCTCTCCGTGCTGCGGACGGAGAAAGCAGCCGGTGGGTGTTGCACGCAGCCGGAACGGACCGGAGCAGACACGCAATGTATACGTAGCTGGTGGAAGTTTGGTGTTAAGAGTTGTTTTTTTTTTTTAAAAAAGCCTACAAATCTACAAATAGGCTTGCAGCAACTCTGCTTGTAGCCTCTGTATACGTCCTGTGTTTGCTGCATGAGGGTCAGAGGGAGACTGATTTTATATCATCATTTATTTAATGCCATTCACTGATTCAACCACTTGGACTGTATGTTTCAGAGAGAAGACTTCAGTGGAGAGCCACCTCTGGGGAAAACACTTTTTTAAAACATTAAACATTTTTTTCCAAAGATTCACAGCTTGCCATGATGCTATTGCTGATGCATTGAACCGCGTACAGTGATATTTAAAAAAAAATGTGGCAGATAATTGTCTCAACAAAATTGACTGGGTTGACTGGGTAGATTCTCTTCTTTTTATAATTTTTAGAGGCATTATGGTATTTCCTGTCATAGTCAGAATGAAGCTAATTCTCTATAACATGATTAAAATACCTGACAAATGATTCTACTCAATGAAAACTGAATTGGAATGAACAAATAACCATTGGTCGTATTATGGTCGTATGGCCAAATGTTGTTTGAGATGTGTTTTAATGGTGTCTTGTCTTGTTGACATTTTACTCACAGAAATGTCCAGCTGGTCCAAAGCAACAGCCTCCTCAGCCAGCAGCTGCACTGAAGAATCAGCGTTGACTGTGATGGACCCACTGCTCACTGTATACACAAACACAAAAGTGTAACTAAACATGCCAACATACAGCCATTTTCATTGTTCATCAAAAACAATGTAATGTGAGTCATAAATCAAGGACGCCCTGTCTCACTCTCAGGAAGCTTCTGTTTCACAATTCATTTCACCTAAAGGGTTTAAATGATCAATGTAAACAACTCAAACATTGTACCTAAGTATTTGGGCTACAAGCTAATCTTAAAATAAAATCTAATGTATGTTTAAAAGAAAAGGATGAGTTCAATACTTGATTAAATGTATTTACTAGAATAACAAAACTACAGATTCCACAAGCCTGAGACATGGACACACTAAACGATCCAAGTGGAGAGCAAAGCTATTTACAGGACATACAAGATACACATATTTCACATTGTGAAAGCTAATCTGTAATTTTGGAAGACATTTGTTTTAAGGGATATAAATCAGCGTCTCTAGATCACAGGTGTCAAATTTGAGGCTTATAACCGGCCTGCGAGATAATATTATTTTTCTATCATTGCTGGCCCTCTGGTATATAGCACACATCACTGAAACAACTCCCAGAATGCAGCACTAAGGCTGGCACACCAATCAGAACTCGCAAGCTCCAGCTCCCCACTGTGGTTTCTGTGCAGCATAACAGAGTGTGTGAAATCTGCAGATTAATGGACCATTAGAACAAGGACATAGATATAGATTAGATTCAGGGTGAGCCAAACAAAGGTCTCCACCACTGTCTTGTCAACCGCACACTGTGCAGTTAAACTGAGTACACTCGACACTGAGTTTACAGGGGAAGTGTCCGCTGTAGAAAGAGCCCCTGTACACATCCAAATGGAGCTGACATACAGAAACTCTAATGTGGTGGCACATTGAAGGAGTCTGTGGCTGCATAGCCTCCATTCTTCAACCCTGAAACAATGCTCCAACACCACCTAAAAGCTGCTCAAATGCTCTGCATGTTTGGAAGTGCATACCCGTGTGAGCAACACCTCAGACAGGTGTCTCAATAAAGCACACACTTCATCCTGAGAGTCTCCACAGCTGAGCGTATTTTCTTGTAGTCCAAAAAGTCAAGATGCCAAACATCTTTTTTCAGTTTTCTTGTAATCACAAAGTAGACTGTTTACGGTTATAATATTTGCACATTTTCACTCGATTGAGCCATTTTAAAATGAATACTGTGTTTGATGGAGTTGTCAATTTTAATTCATAATAAAATATTTTAGATTTTATTTTGAAAAATATAGTTTTGTCACTTTTTGACTACCTGCTTTAAAACTGGACTCTGAAAAACTGCTGATAGAAAGAAAAATAATAATGCTGATGTGTCCTTTATTTGAAAGATTCTCGTTTGATTTTTTTTTTTTAATCCTTGGTTTGTTCTGAACTCTATAATATGTCTTAGGAGCAGTTAACTTTGTCTTATTACCTCTGATGAAAACATGGTCAATGTAAGGAGGTTATTCAATAAAGGTTGACCCCGTTTGGGCCTTGAGTAAAAGCCAAAATTATTTTTTACTCCCTCCGTAATCAAGTTTGACAACCCTGATTTTAAATAATAAATCCACTAGCAACCGATTGATTTTTTCAGTCATACTGATTTTGGCAACAAATAAAATTGGTTCAGCCGCTGATTGAGTCTCATTTTACAAATCTGGCCATCTACCTCATTTGAGTTTGACACACCTGCTCTAGATTTACAAATTCATCATTCATGTAAGCAGCAAAAGTTAAGGTCTGGCCTAAATCACAGATACTATTCTTACCAAAGTACTTGGCAGAGGAGCCATCCTCACTGAAGACTGTGACAACCCCAGGCCTGAGCACCTGCAGGGTGGGTACGTGGGCTGGAAGGATACCAAACGCACCAGTAAGGGTGGGCACATCTACCTGTTTCACACTGGCCTCTTTGAAAAACACCTGGAGAGCAGAGAGCAGAGAGAGAGAGAGAGAGAGAGAAAAAAGATGCATTGACTCATGGCCTGCTTTGCAAAAGTTCAACATTGACGAATGGTGAGGGGTCACAGACACGGAGACCAATCTTCAAGTGTAATATTTATAAAACTGTGCACATCATTATACTATTAAACGACCACTGACAGCCACCTTAACATTTATTTATAAAACAACATAATTCATTTCTTAACTCTTATTAGAACAAACTAGTTCTGCAGCAGGGCGAGGTAGACTTTTAGCACTCTGTGAAACAGGACTCATACATCCAGAGTGAACTGAAATCAGAAAAACGTGAATGCTGGGATAACATTACCAATGACATGAACCTCAAGGTTAGACAGCTTTACATTTAACACTCTGACGTTATTTACATCTCATGTAGCTAAACACATTTGAAACATGTGTGCAGACACACACCTTTTACCTAACCGAACTCTAAATCAGTGCTGTTTAAGTAATGCAGTTCGCAAAGTTGACTGTAACACCCAAAGACAGTGAATGACAGCTAGGTTAAATATCGGCTGCTAGCTGAGCTAAGCTAAGCTAAACCATTTAGTGACACTACACGCACACACGCCCTGTGTGAACTGCAGGCGCACACTCACCATAGAAAACCATTCATTTGCACAAACTTGCTAAATGACTCAAAGAGATTTTAAACAAACTGTGACGGTGTGCTTCAAGTAAAGACCGAGTTAGCCGCGTAGCTTGCCGGGCCTCGTCGTGTAACGTTAACAGAGAGCTGGCTACCTGCGTCGGGGAGGCGAAAGTGAAGGACATCTGCGGGGCTCCGCTCACAGCCTCGGCGTAGGAGCGAGTCTGCCTCAGCACAGGGAGAGCACGGCGGAGAAATCTTGCTGCCATCATGACTGAAAAACCGGGTTTTATTCAAGTACAAGTGAATGACAGAGGTCCTGGAGCCTTTGCGTGCAGGCAGACGGTGTGCGCTCGGGAGGACAAGGACGTTCGTAAACTACCCACAAGGCTTTACGGGCGCGCAAAGGATGCAGGGAAGTGGAGTGTTAAAAAAAAAAAACCTCAATACTCTCTCCAGCTGCAGCAAGTCGGGCTAGACGCAGGGATGGGCAACTTTGGTCACAGCAAGGGAAACATCCATTTACTTCTCACTGCTGCCAGGGGACCAAATTGTAGAATAGAAAGAAAAACAATCAGTTATGTCTCAATTTTAACTCAACATATACCAGTGATCAAACATTATTATGGACATAGTTTCTGGTTTTCATGATTTAATGGCAGCTTTTGTCATGTTTTCTTCATGTTTCCAATTAATTGATGTGTAAAAATTGACCTTAGGGCCACGTTGAGGGTTGATGGGGGGCCGCATGTGGCCAGAACTATGAATCAGGATCACTATGAATCGAGATTATCGCGGTTCAGTCTTTACTTTCGGCAGACATTTATCATTATGTGAACAACAACTATAACCTGGGTGAGAATCTTAATGTTGCATTCTAATAAATTTAATTTAGTGAAGTTTTTTTTTTTGCACAAGGGACTGAGCACTGACTACCAGTAGGTGGTGCCAAAATACTACATCAAACAATATGCCTATCCTTCTCACAACTAGAAAGTCTGGGGCAACGTTTTGAAACTCTTTCATAGCCATTATTGGCATATGAAAACCCACACACATGCTAAAACAAACTTTGAGCTTGCCTTTCTTCAGTCTACCGTTTTAGCCACACAAGTTGCAGCATATCCCAAGTAGGCTAATTTAATATTCTAATAGACCGATATTGAGTTACATCACATTTTGTTTTTATGAAGTTTGTTTTAGGCTACATTCAGCCTAGTTATTGAGGCACTCTGCCCTCGTCGGCACTGAAACTGACTCATTTTGTCTCCTTTATGTCTCATATGCGTGAACGTCACAGACTGGTGAACGTTAAGTGAGCATTTTGAGAAACCCTTCAATCAGCCTTACCTCACTCCTTGCGTCACGTGGTGCGTCTCTGACTGGGTGGTGGGCGTGTCTTAGACGGTGGGGTTTCATTCATAAATACTTTAAGCTTTAAAATCCACATTAAAGTGATCATAGAAGAGTTTCACGGTATTGGCTTTGCCCCTCCACCCCTGCATGGACCAGGCTGGTTGAGTAGGTGAGTGCTATCTTTGCTGCATCCCTCCTCGTGTGTTTGTGCAGCGGCAGACACTCCACAGTCTTCTCTATCGGTATCACTGGACTGATGAAAATAGGCGCCTGTGAAATATCAAAATGGCATATTTCTGAACGTCGTTGCGCTGTTTGGAGCTTTTTTTTTTATCATTCTAAAGTTTACTCGGCTTTATTTAAATAATGTGATGGGATTTTTTTCCATGCGAAGTATTTAGCAGCCAAACCCCCATAAGGAAAAAAAATCTGTTTGCCAGAGACGAAGCTCAATATTTTTGCTGTTCTGCAGTATAGGCTACCAAGCCAATCGGAATTCTTTCTTTCGTGCCTCAATTCTTCATTGTAAAAACGTTCAAATGTGAGCATTGTAGTTCTCTTTTGCTCTAAAGTTATCTTGTGGTCATGTGCGCATTTATAAAAGGCTAAACTCGACACGACGGTGATGCACAAAAAAAAAAAAAAAAAGCCTACCAGTAATTTAGCTGGTATAGACCAAAATGTTGACCATGATGGGATATGCCTTTTGCTGGGACACCCATGTCTCACCATCTGCTCAGTCAGCCAATCAATTCAACAGCCTTCTGGATTTGCGATACCATAGAAGTGAGCAATTATCAATAAAGCAACACACTTCGTTTGTTTTCATAGTCTGATTCAAAAGAAATGTCTTCTAGTGAAACAACAAGGAATAGGCAGCCAAGTGTAATTGGACTTAAAGCTATTTGTAACTGGTTTACAATCCCTTTTAAGGCATTTTATTACATACATTGGGGGTAGTTGCAGCTTTTTTAATGTAATAGTTGAGTAAGAAAACATGTTTTTTTATGTTTGGTTGTCACTCAATGTAATACACCGTTAAGAAATACACAATTTGAATGATACTCACTGGACGAGATAGTAGAAGGGAACCTGTCAGTGTGTATGATGTGCATTATGATGTGCATTTGGTCAATGCAGGCACTTATGTAATGTAAAACTCATCTACACGAACTGTAAAATGAATGTAACCAATCACTGTGGTGTGTGCTTGTTATCAGCCATGCAGCACTGCCATCCTTCTGTTGCTTCGAGGCCAGCGGGCCAGTCCTGAAGGGGAAAACGCCGCTGCTCAGTCTCAGTCGGCTGGCGAGGCTGAGGTGGCTGAGGATGCAGCAAGGGAGCTGAGGAGGACACTCCTGAGCCACAGCTTAACACACACATCCAGAGCTGCTGCTACGCACTGCCCCTCCATCAGGGTAAGACACTGGGCTGGTAGAAAGCAGGATGTGGTACATTGCTGCCAAGGAAAGCAGTGTGTTCACAGCCTGATGTGTTTCCTGCAACAGTTTTTCAGGCGTGGATGGTAGAACAGGGAGTTAGGAAGGCTGGCAGCACGCTGCTCAGCATTAGCTTACAGGTTGTGGTGCTGAAGTTGAGTGCTGCAGGCGAGTGAGGAGTGCTGAGTGCTGCTGGCATGTTGCTCCTACCCTGCTGGGTGAGTAGCTCTATCCAGGGTGTTTGTGTGTGTGTGTGTGTGTGTGTGTGTGTGTGTGTGTGTGTGCGTGTGTGTGTGTAGGCGTTTGGTGCAGTAGTAGCAGTATTAATGACTATGATCTCTAAGAGCAATCGCATAACAGCAGCGCTAGTGGAAGCTGCTGGAACCTGTGTTTAAGTAAGAGCTGTTTTTTTTTTTTCTGTGTGTGTGGGAGGTAGGTAGAGAGAGAGTCTTCAGGCTGATATGGAATTGTGAGTGATGTTTTGCAGCCGAGATGCTTGCATTGGCATCTTCTGTGAGCCTGAAAAAGCATGTGTACGAGGCAAGCTCACATCATCTACAGATGTTTGAGGTTTGCTTTCCCCTTGCGTTATTTCATCAACATATTCGATGTTTTTAAGAGATGCAACAAGAGCGTTCAGCTGAAACCTTCTGCTGAAATGTCATCTTACAGGTCCATATAACTATTTATTTGGTTTGTTATTAGACACATTATTTAGTAATGGACAGGAAATCTCTTTAATTTACTGTGAGATCAGAAGGGTTGTGACTTCGTCTTGGCTTATCAACACATATAGTGTGTAATGAATATTGTAGATGACGTTGTTTTTTGATGAACAGCTTCAGTCACAGTCATTTCCTCTGTGTCTTTGTGTGTGTTTCTCAAGGGGACTCTCTAGTTGGCCTGGACCATGAGCAATGAGTCTACCATCTGGAACATCCTACCAGAAAACTCCACAGTAAGTCCGTCTTTCACCACCGGCTTAGTCTCAAACTTCCTGTCCATGTTTATGTGTCTCTGTCTGTGTGTGGTGTGTTGTATCCGCTCAGCACCAGAACCAAACCTTCCCTCATATTCTCCTCTGCTTGGATTGACTGTCTAATAGGGAACATCCTGACCTGGACCCGAAATAATTAAATCTCTGATCTAATCTCAGCTTTAATTTCCCCTTGCAGAGAAATTACGACGTGACATCTGAGTGGAGCACTCATTAACACTCACCGTGCTCTCTCCCTCATAGAGCTCAGGATAATACCGCACCTATAAGACCATTACTTTGATATTCAAACATTTTACTTTGTCTTTACATAACCTTTGTGTTACCACATCAGTTTTATTCTCCGTCAAAGAACAAAGCCTGTTGTTGTTCTCTGTTCTCCCACTCATGTTACCACCTTTCCTTTTATTTAAAGCATTTCAATCCCTGTTCTGTAGCCTTTAAGGGCAGGGAACAACATGAGGAAGGAAAGAAGATCAAAAACAAAATCTGTAAAATGGGTGCTTTAATGTTCAAATAACTTCATACATATATTTAATTTTAAACATCTAGCAAGCTTAAAAATAGATTTGAAAACCAAAACATTAACCGACTACATAGTAATGGACGTCACTCCCAGATTTAGTTCTCTAAAAAAAAAATCAAGTTTAATATCCATCCATCCATTGATTAAGTAATTCAGATTTAGAGTTGTATTTATAGTACTACGTACAAAACAAAAATAAACAATTATGTACTTGATGAAGTTTTCTGATTAAACTAATGCAGTAAAAATCTTACCGTAACTGTTTGTATTATACAGTAATAGCTGAAGAGATGGATTGACTCAAGTATTTTACAATTATCTTTTACATAGATTTAAAGACTCATTCCAACCCATTGGAAAAAAATTACATCTTTGCAAATCTTTGTGTAGTGAAGAATTATTGTCAAAGACATTGGTAATCTATAGGCCCATGGGGTCTCTGCCAGTGCTCCCAGCATGTTTTATTATCTTAGCTGCAGTCCTTCCTGTTTCAGCTTTCCCATAGCTCAGGTAAACTGTAGACAGGTTCATAACCCTCACATTTGTTGAGTCAATGCACTGCTGCAGTTATAGATTCACTTCATCCCAAACAGCCAAACCAGTGGATGCTGCATTTGGTGCCACTGTAAAGGTATCTCAGCTACAGCTGGAAGGTATTTGTTGTATTACAGAAATGGCATATATCAGTGAATAGTTTCAGTATATTGATGTTTATTTGGATATAAATTGTCTTACTCTGTTAAAGTAGCGCTCTTCAAATCTAATTTGGAACAGGGACACACCTAGCTCTTTTGCTGTTAAAGCTACTGTTGCGTTACTCACTGCAGACACTTTGACTCGAGTCTACTGTATCTACATTTATCTACAGTTTCTATTTAAATATATATATTCTTTCTCCTTTGTGTTTCTCAGGAGATCCCAGTAAAGGCAGAGGAGCAGCAAGATGGCTCCGTGCTCCCCTTGGTGATCCTTTCCGTCTTCCTGGTAGGAACTTTGATCTCCGTCTCAGTCCTCCTCATCGCCTTCCGTCGCTGCTGTCGAGGAGGACAATGCTGTGCCAGGTACGATGCGAAGATGATCAATTCAGCATTTGAGCACTTTATGTGCCTCCCTTATCCAGAACCATTACGAAGAATCTTTCAGTATAAGCTCCAAACCAATGTATTGGACAAAGAAAGAGAGTGGACTTCATGAAAGCAGCAGCTGCACAATGTAATATGAAGAGCACAGTCATAATGTTTTGTTGAGGTGTTCATTAGACTGTGTTTATTTTGAAAATGTGCTCAGGTTTTCATTGTACAAAAGTATTTTGATCCCTGGCACCCCTGTCATTTGATCCTTCAAAATTCCACACGCTGCAGTCGCTGCAGAACTCTTAAAAGCATCCAATGAGAACAGTTCATTAACTTTCAGATCCTTTTTTCATTTGTTCAAGCAGCCAACTTCCCCAAGTTCAGGTCTAACTGTGGAAAAAGTTGTTCAAGTTTGTACTCAGAGTATACTAACAGACCAAAGCCCTTTAGAGATTGTCCCAGTATGTGAGTTCATGTTGCATTCCGGCGTTGCGGAAGCCCGAGAGACACAACATGTGAACACACAGCGGGAGCTTCACATACACACAACACCGGCTCCGATGTTTCACATCACCACAGCCTTCCCCCATTTACGCCTCTGTTAATACCTCTGATGGCAGATAAGTGGCATTACGACTTTGCTTCACAATTCCGCATCCGTGCATTACACATTGCAATCGAGGCATAACAGGCTCGTAAGTATTCAGCCTTCAACTGCCAATCTGTAAGCGCCAAAAGACTACTCTCCCTCTCCCTCTCTAACATGCGACAGCTATTTAAAGACTGCCTGGTGCTTGTGTTGAATGTATACACTTACATAATAGATGATGAAGCTCATTGAAATTGCAAATTAAACAGAAGACATCCTGTTGCATTTTAGTTGTATAGTCCAGTTTGCGCCGCCCATTAAGTATGATGCCATTAACAGTTTTAACAGAGGTGATTCATCTGTGTGTATTCAGCAGTTAAATGGCTACCCTTGAGATACTTTGTCTACCTCCAGAGCAGCACACATCATCAAGTACACTTGAATGTATGATCCCACCAGCTAGATGCAGATAAACAGAGAGCACAGAGGCTGAGTCGTGAAAAAGAGAGACCTGCCGGGGGAGAGCAGAAGAGAGGCAGGCAGACTGGTACAAATGATGAGCGTAATGAGATTTCATAGCAGCCAACGGCTGTGATTAATCTTGCGTCTCAACCTAGCGTTGTGTGCACACCAAAAATACAAACACACATACGCACACACACACACACACAATATGGGGAAGCAGGAGCCACAGAGGAAATGAAAGACAAGAAGAAGAAGTGCAGATCTGGTTGGAAGGCGAAATCCCTCAAGTTGCTTTACACACACACAAAACTCATATCTCTGCACAAAGAAATCAGATTGAGAAAAATGACCGAGGAGTGTTCAATTTCTTTTTTCAAGCCTCATAAGGTAGATTTAAGACACATTTGAAAAGTTATTTTTAGGAAGAGGAGTGGCACTGAAAGAGAAGACATATTTAAATCATATAAAATAAGTATAAGAATATAAAAACCACCATGTAAAACCATGACCTTTATTGTTTATTCCCTCTCTGCTTTAAAGATGAGTGGGAACGTGCAATCCCATAAAGTACCCTGATATATTGTTTTAAGAGGTCCCTCAGCCCTGAAGGTTATCTGTCACTGGCAATGATTTAGACTGATTTAGGCCCTCATTGATTATACAGCCAGGCAGGCTGCCATTAAGACAAACAGATTGGTGAATGTCCAGTTAGATTTGTAAACTGCTGATTTGTATGCTGTGTTTTCTAACATAAAGACTTTCCTCGTGGTTGTGAGTGTGTGGCTGCCTGCAGCTGTGGGGTTCAACAGATGAAAGACAGATTTGAAGGGGAAATCATGTCACAGCAATTGATCTGAATCTCTCTGTGTACCCCAGGGCCAGCGATGACCCTGAGAAAACCAACACCACCTACTTGGAGGAGTCTCAGCCCACCCATGGTAAGAGAGGAATGGACAAAGGAGGAACTGTAGGGAAGGGGGGAATGATAGGGGGAGAGATAGAGAGGAAAGGAGGAGTAATGGAGACAGACAGGCTGGAAGATAGAGGGATTGGACTGATAGAGGCAGAGGTATTCGTAACCAGTCAGCACAAATGTGTAAAGCCGAGTCCATTAAAACAGTTTGATATCAACCCAATTAGTGTAAGTAGCTGTGTCGTTCCTGGAACACCTTCTGACATTTTGGGACCAGAAAGCACTCTCTCTGAAATGAAAGAGATTTAGAAGCAGCATTAGTTTGGGACCAAACTGTTTTATTAGGCTGTCTGATCAGCTTTTCAGTCAGCAGTTTGACTCATTTTCATGCTCATCCTCCCAAAAGCGGTTTGAACATTAGCTCAGGCTCAGCTTTAGCGAATTTTCAGTAAAGCAGAAATAACTTTTGGTTTTTGTCGTTTATTAAATGTATTTTATGCCTCACTTTCACAGTTGAAAGATACAAAAAAGACAAGCAACAGGGTCACTCTGACAAAGTTTTGCTGAAGTCATAACAGTAAATACTTTATTACAAACTCATCACCTGTTCTATGTACCATCGTGTACAAAATGTGAAATCTAAATCTATGCAAGCAGGTCCGCAAGCTGTACTTAGGTGCAGAGGTGCCTTTAGCTTCATGCTAATATCAGTATACTGACAGTGACAATGCTAACATGCTAACATGTTAATGTTTTGCATTACCAATTTAGTTTAACTTTGAACAGACTAAACTATTTTTTGTTGTTGATAAAAACAAGTGCAAATCACATGACCTGTATCAACCAGTCAAATCAGATTTTGAGAAGTGGTGACAGTTTTTCCCTCTGGTGTTATCTGATGAGGGGGTCGTCACTATCAGTGGACCTCATCCATTGAGGACCCTGAATGTTGTTGACGTATTCTTTTGATCTGGACCAAAGTGGTGGGTCAAATGGCAAAATCCACAGTGCTATGCCCGCAAACATTTCATTAATGATATTAAAATGAAAAAAATAAATGAACTGCTCTTCCATCTTTCTTTGTCAACTCCTCATGCTCTTCCGTTTATCCATCTCCCTCCCTATCTGTCTCCCTCATCTGTCCCTTTCCTGTTGCATCTGTGGTAGAAATCACCATCAGGGTGGATGAGTCGGAGTGTCTGTCGATGGCCAGCTCTCACGACCAAGAGACCGAGCGCTTCCTCTCCACCTGCACCACCGGCCGCCGTGTCTCCTTCAATGAGGCTGCGCTCTTTGATCATGGCAAGAAGGCTCAGGAGAAGGGCCGCAGGTCAGAAAGCTAATACATACACATGAGCCGAACTACTTTTCAAACACTCGTGTGGTTAATTCAGCTTTCATTGGGCGTCTATTTCCTTGCACTTCAGCGTTGCCGCTTATTTAGATCAATAATGAACACATTTGACTATATCCATCTCACTTCTGTTTTGGTTGTTTTGCGATGCATTATCAGTGCTGTGGAGCTTTCTCTTAGGCTCTGAGCCTGTTATGTTAATTTTGCGGGGCTAAATGCAAATTCAGTATAGCACTGCTGGGTTTGAAGTCAAATATGTCCCTTGGCTGTTTGATTCTTGTGCAAGAATAAACTTTGAATTTACAACTTATCTCTTTAAATGTATGTCTCATCTTGACAGGATTCTGTATCTTTTAATTTACCTCGTTTCTGATCACCCCAGGTATACTCTGACTGAGGGCGACTTTCACCACCTGAAGAACGCCCGGCTCACAAACCTCAACTTCCCTTCTCCAGCCCTCAAGATAGTCACTATCCATGAGTGTGACTCGGCTGAGAACAGCATCACCATGACAACAACACGCCCTGTTGCTAAGTCAGCCCTTTCCATCTTCCAGGTGATTTAGCCTTTAACCTGCTATTAGACGTGACACATCATTAGTCTTGACCTGGGCCAATTACAATATCAATCACTAGGGTTAAGGCAAGAAAATGTATCAAGCTAATGTACCCGAACATGAGAATGAGGAATCTGTCTGCTCGCTCATTTCAACAAGCAGGGCTCATTGATTTCACACTCAGGAGGAGTGCCAGTCACCAGTTAGAGAGGAAATTCATTTTTAGTCACAAATGCTCGGAAAACATGAAAACAACAGAAGACCTGCCTGTTTGACAGTATATTCTATAAGAGTAAGAGAGTCATTGTTGTGCGTGCTTCCCTTCAGCCGATGCTGTGCCCTCTGCCACAAACAGCGTTGACCAGCCTGAGTGTCAATCCCAGCTGTGCCCTCCCTGGAGACGCCCTCAACTCGGTGGTGGGAACCAGCTTCAATGACAAAAACATGGCTCTCAGCACTAAGGAGCCAAGCTCAGTAAGTTACCTTTAACTCATCTTAACTTTAAAATATATTACATCAATTAATAAGTGACTGCCACAGCGTTGTTTTCTTAAGCTTGGACGGTACAGGAATTTTCTTGCCTTTAAATTAACTGCAATAGTTGGTGTTCTTAAGAAAAGTGCAGTACATACTTTGATTTTGGTTCCCCCTGTGGACAAAGCAGTTTGTCTTTATGTCATTATGTCTACATAGATATTGGTTACCGGCGATTAAAATCATCCTGTTCTCTTTTAACAATCGAATGTATCACTCATATATAATATTTCCTGTGAAAATGTAAATAAAGGCTTCTTCTGCAATGTACTGTAAGTGCTCTTGTCTGACAGTGGCAGTGGTAACAGGCATTCACAATAACACTAATAGAAGCAGTCAGTCATGTTTCTGATGGTCTCATTTGCTTCTGTAGCTCATAAAGAGGAATCCCTTTTAATTTCAGTTTCATAACAAGTAGTAGTCACACTCTAGGAACCAGCCAGACAAGCAGGGAGTCATATATATGGGCATCAGAGGGTCATGGAGCATGAGGGAGGGCCCAACAAAAGTGATGGTTTATGGGCAAACAAGAAGCATCACTGTCAGAAGGGATTCCACCCACACCACTTCCCTTATCATGTTTTCTTCCTAACCATGTTTTTCTGTCTGCTCAGATCGAGATAATGGGAGTGGGGCCCAGGGGCAGAGGCAGCAGCATTAGTGTTGGAGAAGGGGTCTTGGTGGGGAGCTGCGCCTCCACTTCTGCCGGCATTGCAGGAGGCCAGGGGCCCGTGCTGCAGTTCTTCACCAAACTGCGGCGCCATGCTAGTCTGGAGGGGGCCAGTCCCTACTTTAAGATCAAGAAATGGAAGCTGGACAGCAGCCAGAGAGCCTCCAGTCTGGACACCAGAGGTAATGGATACTTGTTGACGCTAAGTACTTTTATATTATCTTGTTTTTTGGAAATTATCAGTGCTTACGTTGCAGGAAGGATTCACAACTCTTTGTGTAAGTCATAACTGAGGAGATAAAGCAATACTGTTTCTTCATTATTTATCTTGGTGTATAGTATTTTTGGCATCATTCTCTGGCGGTAAACAGGCAATGGTTAAGCAGGGGGATCCAGCAACCAACTGTGAGAAGCCCTTTCCCTGCTAGGAGTCGGATATACACAGTGACACACACACATACAGGACAGATGGCTGTGTGACGTAAAGTTTGCCCTTTCCAAGTCAATTTGGGCCCTGGAGTGAATCCTTCCTGTCGATCTTCTCCATCCTATACAAACAAACACACACACACACACACACAAACACTTCTCCCTGCGCTTCCATAGACACAACTCTTTAATACAACCGAGGGATCAGAACAGGATAAAAAAAATCTCCTGAGACCTTCACACTTGAAGGAAACTTTCTCGAGAAAGAAGTGTATTTTCACTGTTTCCTGCTGTCACAAATGTTGTTCCTTCCCCTTGATTACTTTTTGTGGGACAGGCTCTCCAAAGAGGAGACAGTTCCAGCGCCAGCGGGCGGCAAGTGAGAGCATGGACCAGGACGACAACGACGCACACCACATAGACCTCATCCAGTACATCGCTCGCACTCAGGACATCCCCTACTGTCCCAGTCAGCCAACCACACGCCTCCTCTCACCTCCTTCCACACCACCGCCCTCCCTCGGCAGGTATCTTTAATTTCCTTGCCATTCATCCTGTTCACTGCTTTGCTGCCTTGCACTCATTTCTTGACAGTTGCTAAAATATGTGAAAGTTAGGACATGGCTCTAAGTCCCAATTCTGCCCGACCAACTTTTCTCTTACAAAACAGTGCTTTTAAAACCTATTTGAAATGCTATTGGAGTCGCTTTAATACGCTGTTGAAGAAGATATACCGTAAAGAAATCAAATGGCATATATCAGTGTCAAGTAACTGACCTTTAAGTGAATGGTTCATTTAGAAAACTGCCTCTTGGAAAATGTTTGACAAGTTCTGTTGCTAGGACATTTAATTAGATTCAAAGACACAATGTTATGTAACTGTAAATACCTCTGCCACAGTCTCATTAAATGTAATGTGATCCCTCTGTACAAGACTTCTTTCAAAACCATTTTGAACAGGGGAATCCCACAGTGGAGTGGAGAATGGGGACACAGGGTTTATATCTGGCATAGGAAACCATTCCATTGCTGACACAGTCATGATGTCTGCGGAAGTGCAAGGGTCATTGTTTTTTTTGTTTTTAGTGTGTCCTAGAATTGCCCAGTATTTGGTTACAAAACAAAAATAACGAAGTAGCTTCTTGAATAACAGTTTGTTTCTTCTTCTCTGAAAATTTGATTAAGCAAAATCAGTATTTCCTGTGTATGTTTACACGCGTTTGTGTTTAGAAAATACAAGGAATTTCCTGGAAGATGCCAACAGCAAAACAATCTAATGGGATCCGTGATCACTGACAGTTAATTACTTTTGATTGTTTATGTTTCAAACAATTTGTACTCTGAGAATGTACTGTATAAGGAAAAAGGGGGTATGTCTAGTAGTTTCTTCAGCAGACAAGGCATTAGTATCTAGCTAAGTTCTGTTCACAGACATGCAACAGCAACCATTGCAAGCCATAAAATTCATTCTGTGCACTGTGAACGCAGCCACGCTTTAGGTGAATGTGTTAATTAGGGAAATGCTTCAACATTGACATGAGTTTTGTGCGCCTCAGTGTTTCTCCCCTTCATTTTCCTCATGTTTTTTCTTTTTTCTCGTCTCCACTCCTGTGTGCACCCTACAGGGTAGAGGTAGAGGTCATAGTGGAGCCCAGCTGCGGCCATGGAGGACCAGGGGTGATTGGCCTATCCCCTGATCCCCAAGATGAAGGCCTGTCCCTGGAAAGAAGGGAAGGCGCAGACCCCTTGGACCCCCCAGATGCCCATGACCCCCTGACCCTTTACAAAGACATCTGGACCCTTCGTGCCTCACTCGAACAGTACGCTGCCTCCGACCAGAGCAGCAACAATGACAGGAACTCTGTCTGCAGTGATGCTGACAGTGTGTGTTCGCTGAGCGGACGCACAGAGACAGAAAGAGGAGGGCTCCCAAGATATCCATCCCAGGATTTAGGAGATGAAGCAGAGGGTGGAGAGGATGACAAGGATATTTTGATGTACACGGAGCAGAGGTTAGGTGTGAAAGAAGGGAAAAAGAGAAAACTGGGAGGCAAAGAACCAGAGCGAAGGGGTAGTGATGGAGAAACAGGGACTCGTAAATTGCTGCAGATGGACAGCGGCTACGCGTCCATAGAGGCTCCGTCTCGAGGTCCAGAGGAGTTGAGACTGTTCGGGAGCAACAACGGCAGCCCCAAAGACAAAACAGCTCACGAGAAAAGGCACCACTTCACCAACGCGGGGCGAAGTGGCACCATCGGTGAGAGCTTTGAGTCTCATCTCTTTGAGGAGGAGCCAGAAGAAGAGGTGTTGTTGGGTGCCAGTGGAGGAGTTCCCATAGAAACAGATGCTGGCGCACTGAGCTGGGCCCCACATGGTCAAATGCTCACACCCAGCGAGGCTGCACAGCCTTCAACTCAACCGCCAATATTGCACCGACGAGACTACAGCATAGACGAGAAGACTGACGCCCTCTTCCACGAGTTTCTCCGTCACGACCCTCAGTTTGACCAGCAGGAGTCACCGCTAAGGAAGCATCGATCCCGAATCCACCTCCGCAAGCAGTGGCAGCGCCACAAGCAGTGGAGTGACCCTGGTGTCAGACACTTTCATTCCTCTTTTGAAAGACAGCGTACCCCTCTACGGAGGGGTGAAAGTGTGAACTACCCATTGGAGACAAGCTACCACAGTACGCTCCCCCGAATCGTTAGTGCTCCCGACGAGGAGAATAGCGACGGCACCATCAGCACCCCTGATACCCCAAAGGTGGAGCCTACAACAACTGGCAACAGGGGAGAGAAGCAGGGTGTCAGCGTTAGACACACAGAGGACAGTATCTCCTCCTTCCAACCACCTCTTGCACACTCCGTCTCAGAGAAAGATGGAGGACAAGGTGAGCACCATGATCATCAGGAGGACATCAAACCATCTGCACTGCCCCCCGAACCCGCAGACGAGCGCTCACCGCCTCAGCTGCCTGACTCCTTAGGCTACGGCCCGCAGACCATAACAGCAGACCTCATGGACAAACTGACTGCTCACCTGGACGAGAGGTTGTACACGGGCCTCCGCAGGGTCAAAGACACGACCGTTGAGTGTGTGACGGTGACGGCTACACACGCTTCTCCAGACCACAGCCCAGTGTAGCAGGGCTCCGTTGACCTCCTCATCAACTTCACTCCTGCTGACACACACTATTTCTTTTGTGTTTGTTTGTCTTGCCTCTATTTAAGTGTCTCTCAATATAGAGCTTGAATGGTGTGATCCAGATTCAGAAACGCGCTATTGAGAATATGCTTTGCAAAAATCCATACTTGAACACAGGATTCATTTAAATGCTGTTCATCAACTAGAAATTCAGTCAGTGTCTTTTTATGCCTGTTATCATTACAAAGCAGGTTAATGTTGCAGTCAAGCTACAATCCATAATAGTGTAAGATGAAGCATAGCTAACACATGGTTACAGTAGTAATAGTATCTGTATCTGTGTTTGTCTCTCCTGCTGTCATTCCCGTCTCTGCTCTCCAATATGAATAACATGCTGAGAGCCAGTATGGCCTTCGCACTCATTGAGCCACTGTGAAACCAGGTGCTATTAGACAAGAAGAAAGTGACAGATCTGGATGTAACAATTAGCCCTCCTAGTCCTCCAATCAGGATTAGGTGAACTTGTCGTGAGAAAAAGAATAATTTAGAATAGCAAAATTGATCTACCAAAGCTAATAGGCATACTGTAACAGTAGAGATCAGTAGTTTCAAATCTATGGAGATCCCAAGAGAAATGAGATAAATTACTAAGAGATGTAGCCTATGTTTCAGTCACATTGAAAACAAACGTTGCAGTTGCTTGGAGCAGCTAACATTATTCACAAAGCTTGATAAAAAATGTCATTATTTGAATTAGAGAAGTGGTTTCTACATGTTTACATTCAACCACCTGCCCAGCTACATCACTTTCACCCAGAGCCATTTTTTTCTGTGGCTATTCTTCCTGGTTGTAGCTATTAAGCTAACTCTGTAGTAGGATAACGTCCCCATGGCTGATAAAATAACATCTCATACTAAGCTGTGGTTGGTGGATTTTTTTTCTCGTACTGCAAAATAGACCTAAAGATCTTAAACCAGTAGAATTCATTGGGACCATTAGCAGAACGGTGATGGGTATGAGTCATTTGATTTAAACGTTGGGAACCCATTTGTTTAGATTGATGGAAAACAAATACAGTCTTAACAATGGCCAGAACAAAAAGTTCCCATGAAGTCTTATTTTGAAAGGGATGCTATCCTAAAAGTTACTTAGGTTGTCTATATCTTCCAAGGTTTTGATTTTTTTTTTTCAAAATAAGGACTCTCTTCTCAGTTAAAATGTCTATCCATAGAAACATACATTGAGTAATAGACCTGGGGGAAAAAAAACATTGCTGTGAACATAAAACACTCTGAAATGTCTCTTTAATGTTGAATCTTTGATGATTTTGTGCCGGGGAACAAAGGACTAAGGAGCTATTGTCTTAATCAGCCGTGTGACTTGTTATGTTTGTTTGTTTGTTATTCACTGAAAATGCTTCTCAGCTTTAAGACAACCGTGTTGTTCATTTCTTAAAAGTTTGTTTGTATGAATTTTGATCTATTTTTGAACGTCTGCACTGCTTAAAAGACCGTAAAAAGAAGGACAGGCTACACAGCAACAGACAGAACTCGCAAACCAAACAGCCGCTTACACTCAGATGCCTCTGTGTCATCCACATATATAGGATACATTTACATTTCACTAAGCTCATCAACACTGACATGACCTCTGTCCCAATAAGAAGAACAAACTCAGTTTTGTGCCATGAGGAATGTGTTTACATTAAAGCTAACAGACGAGCGCTTTGATTACAGATGTTTGGTGTTTATTGGTCTTATCAGAAAGGCATGCTTTCTCGTGCATGGGGCTCACAGAACAGGCTTTATTTGTCCCCGTCTGACATTCTCGTTTTCCCCTCCTCCTCCTCCTCCTCCTCCTCTTCTTTGCCTGAGAAAGTTGTCAGTGCTGTAGATGTCTCCTATGTGGGGGCCTAGGATGTTACTTCCTGCCAGCTTGTAAAAGCAGAGTAAACAAAGATGGTATTTGTAGTGATGGCCATTTTATTTTCTCCTTATTTGGTTTGAAAAAAAAAAAAAATACAAACCATTACTGCCTATCATTTGAACAACTATTAGTTATGTCGGTAAAGAAAGCAAAAAATGGCCAAACTCAATTTTGGCTTATACATCCGTGCTTTTTCACCCTGCACAGTAGCAGCAGGATTGCTGTAACCCAGTTTTAGTCTCCTATACTCAGAGGGGCTGTTGGGCTTTCCGTCTCTCCCACATGCAGTGAGGGGAGCCACTGCAGAAGAGGTTGATGAATTTTAATCATACCAAGAGAAGGATTCCCGCTTTTCATCCGCTGTCTCCGTTCCCTCATTCTTCACGACTGTTACCATGCAGTACATTGAAATGATTGAATACAAAATAAGGGGGTGGGGGGGTGGGGGCACATTATCTTCCTCTCTCTCTGTGTTGGTGTAATGATGATGCTCTTCTCCAGTCTGCCTAGATTAGATCTTTCTCCACTTTGTGACAGGATTCTCCTTTTGTGGCTAAGTGGACTCTGAGGCAGAGGATGCTTTCCTCATTAGGAGAGAAATGGCTGAGATGAAAGGAGGTGAGCTCCAATAAGGAGTAGAGAGGGTAGGGATGTTTTTTTTCTCGCTCATTTCTTTCATGTTGGCTTCCTCACACACACACAAATACACACACTCAAACATTGTAAATGATTTCTCCATGAATAACACAGTTTTGTGCAATCAAATAGCATTTATGTTATGACAGCACTGATCATCAGAAAGGAAATGAAATCCCCTCTCAGCCTTGATGGAAATGATGCATCTCTGTTGACAATAATTACTCAGCTAATTCTGACAGTTCTTGGAAAAGGGGAAGAAGGCTGCGTTCCCCACAGATCAAAAACTACCGGTTCTTACAGCTGAGGCAGTACAAGATGAGAATAGCACAGCAACTGCGACTATTGAAAGAAAATGGCCATATGGGATGATTTCAAATCTGTACAAAGTTTCAACTTTGCTGTCTATACAAGCACAATATATCAAGAGCTAGACTTAATCAATGTCCTTTACTAGGTATAGACAGATGCTGTTTAACTGGGGACACTGTGTTTGTATACTAACCAGTAGCCTGTCAAATGCATTGATGCATAGCTGTGTGTAGGTCTGCATGAGAGTTTACAATTTAGTACAAACAGTCATGTTTTCTCAGACTTGTGGTACAAAATGGTCATAAGTGATGCTCAAATCAAAACATTGGTATAACTTGAGATTTTGTATGATGGAATCCACTTTTTAAAGTCATGCACTAGAATGCTGTAATTGATCCGATTTTGTGAGATTTATCTCTGAACGTAGTAGTATTTCTGTATTCATTGCTTGTAAGTTAATTGCTTAATTTATCCAAACAAGATAAACTTTCTTAACAACTTGCTTTTGTTGATCCAAATCTAATGAGCCTTGAGGGACCAAATCATAAAAAAGTGTTATTTTAGGGTTGTTTTCCAATCTGTGAATAAATGAATGAAGTAAAAAAGTTCTGAATCTCATTATTTCAAGGGAAGGGTTTTCGTTCAAGGCGTGGGAACACATCGCTGATAAGGTTCCCTCCTATGAATCTCATTTCATTTTTCTTTGTTGCTTAGGCTCATAGCCTATTGATTTTTTCCTCGCCTTATCACCTCCTTCAAATTAACTCCAGGGAAAAGCCAAATCCAGTCTGTGATCTATAAGAAAAAGTCTTACATGTCTGCTCTTTCCATACCTTATAATCTGTCTCACTGGCCTTAGCTGTTGGGCACAACAAGTTAAAAGAGACAAAAACTAAGATGACACTGCTTTACTCGGGCAGATTCTTGCTCTGTAATACAACATTTTTGTGAATTGATCCCAACTTTTGGAACTGATAGAACCAAACTGAAAAACAGTGGGCTAATCTATTACCAAACCAAACAGCGAGAACAAATCTACACCCTTCAGTAGGGTACCATATTTTCATACCTCCAAATTGGGAAACAGATTGTTGAAAATCGTAGGCAATAAGTGCCATCCTAAGCAGCTCCTTTTCACAGTGTTTTTCCACTGAAGTAGAAGTAGCACTGTCTGTAGTACTAGTGCAGTGTTCTTCCAGCCTACACCCACTTTTTGTGTTTGCTAGTTTTAACATGGCTTTATATGTCGGAATTTCCACCATGTGCAACTGAAAATTGCCTCTTGCAGTTAGTGCAAAACCCATCATATTCATTGCCTGATACTTTTTCGCGGGAAGCTGTGAATCTCCTGGAGCTCTTTGGAAAAAGGTGCTTCCTTTTCGGCATGATAGTTAGCCAACCTGTCAGATTATGTTACCATGATAAACTAGGCTAGCTAAGCAACAGACGCTACCTTGAGATTGATTGACACATGTTCAAACAAATAAGTATTGAATCTTGACTCGTCTTGCATTAGTGATGTTTTTCTATTGGTTAAAAAAGCCACAGCCTCGGCAACGACATTGATTGACATATATAAAAACAAATTTGTGTTGCAATTTTGGTTGATCAAGGGACTGTTAAAAACTGGGACATAGCCTATTGTCGTTTTATAGGCTAAATATTTGTGGGGACTCAGAACAAAGAGCTTGAAAATGAGACGGTCCTTCAGGGCTCTTTGTAGCTGAACTTTATAGCTTGAAGTCATGTAAAAATCATTTTACATGGCAGTGGAGTAAGGTCAGTAGATAACAGTGGATTAACAATTTGAAATTCTTTGTCAGTGCTTTTAATATGTCAATTTGAACACATCGCGGCAATTTTCTGCTGAAGTTTTGAGGCTAGCTATATCTTATGCCTCTGCTACATGAGCTAAGTCATTTAAAAGAAGGCTATCCAACAATCATCAATTCTTTATTAACAAGTAAAAAGGCAACTGATAGTGAATACAAAGGTACATTGGGACATGTTGTGCTAACCTATTAGTTACCATAAGACAACAGCTAATGCTAGCATTCAAACCACTTCCTGTCAAACATTACTGTAGACCTGCTACATGGCTAACTCAGAATTTAATCCCTGTCTATCGCATCGTGCAACCATTGGCTAGGGGGAGGCCACTTATTACCAAACATTTCTAAATGCTAATGATAGTTGTGTCTGATTGTAGCTCTTGGGTTATCAAACAAGTATAACTTGAGATATGGCCACATTTAGGCTACCTCAAAATGTTCACTGTTCATTGGCTTATCAACCCAGAAATTGTAATACATTATCAGATAACCTATTGTAAAGATTAAAACTTAAGAGAATAGTAGAACAGTATTAAAGCAGTTGAGCTTCCTACTCTGCGCAAGAAGTCAGAGGAAAATGGACGGTTTATAAATATCCTTGGTGGATAAAATCATTAGGCTATAAATGTTGGCAGGCAGTGCACATTAAACAGGAGCTTGCTTCTCAGGAGCCAGGACAATTTAGAAGGAAAAATGCAGGGGCAGATATTTCGAGTAAAATATACAAAAGTTAATGCTGAGTCACATCTATCATAAACATTTTCACGATACAGTTGGCTTACTGGTAATGTACAAGCACACTTATACAATAATGATTCAGAGGAGATTTAATGCTTTGTCTCCTGGTTATGCCATATCATAAAGTAGCCAACATAACACACTGTGAGCAAACTGTGAGCATTTGAAGGCTGCCAACATGTTAACATGTTTCAGCCTTACAATCATTCATTAGGGCAGGAAATTCCTGTATGGCTGTAACATGTTGGCATGTTTTTATGAATATATAGCCTTGATGTATTAAAGGCTTCTGAGTGCCTCAGACCTCCTCCATAGCTTCTAAGTTAGATCCCCGAACTGAAGAGCACCAGAGAGACTCATTCTTTTCAACAGCTTTCAAAAAAAAAATTCAAGACCCATGCAGCATGCATCTGGTTTTTGACAATTTTGGTTTCAGCTGTCTAATACTAATGGAGATCCCTCAAACAGTTGCCTTTGCCAGATAAGGGTGGATAATACATTTGCTGTTTTAACATAATGGTTAAAAACAGTGATAAACCGGTGCCATCCATAAAATTGATATACGAACAAATAAAAAAAATAATTGAAGCTCAGCTGAGATGAGACTTACATAAGTAAAGGACACAGATTTATCCTGAATAACACAGAGCCTGGCACTTAATTGTTTAATTAAAGTCTGGGATATTCCCAAACCAACACATTAATTCAAAGTCAAGATGAACACTGCAGAGCAATTGGTTGAAGCAGTCATAGTTTTTTAAATCTGCTAATAATTGCAATAATCACAAAGTCATCGAGTGATTTTTTAACATTAAATCTGCTTGCTTTTATTTTATTTATACACTTGAGAAAATACCCTTTCCAATGCATTATATAGTCCTCAGAAAACAACATGTTGATGTCTGTCTGTCTGCTGCACATTGCAGTCTAAATTCATTCAGTGAAGGTTGAATGAGATGGAGAATCAGAGAAATGGGCTTCTCTGAAAGAGGGGGATCTAAAGATTCAGACCGCCTCTCCTCTGATTTCATTACACTCTTTTGCATCATCTGTGCCCCACCTCCATCTCCATCTGTCTTTGTTGTCTGTCAGCCAATGGCTGAGCTCAACACCCCAACAGTCAGCCAGTCGGAGGTTTGGGGTTTCCTTCAGTATGTGACGTTGCGTCATCGTCTGTTCTGTGAGGAAGATGCAGAGAAATATCCTTTGATGTTTTTCACAAATCCATTCACAATTGTCGAAATACCAATGAGGAGGTGAATAAAATCCCAACAGCCAAAAACACATTTACTGCTACACTTAAAGAAGGATTGACATTTATGTCAATGCTTGTTGTAGTATGGTTGCAGCAGGCAAATTCAGACGTGTGCGTAATAACAGAAGGAGAGATGACTGAGCATTCTGATGTTTCAAACTTCAATGATTACAGATAAAAATAGCAAAGGACTGCTGGTGAATATTAGTGAACAAGAGCCAAATGAAGACTGGAGTCTACACTATAGCAAATGTATTATTTGTAAAAAATTGACTTGTGTATCTTTTGTGAATATTTCTTCTGGTTAATAGTTCAGCATAATCCACATTTTGCATGACATGAAACAATTCATATCATCAGCCATCTTGGTTGTTTTGTAAGAAATCCTTTTAAGTGATTTACCAAGCAAATGTAAGTTTATTGCATGTGATTGGCCTGACCTAAATCCGGTCCGCTATAAATAATTCTGAATGGAACTATAACCGGACACATTTTGGAGCTCTCAGATTGATTTGGTTGTTTGGCTCTAAGCAAACAGCAATTGGTCTTGCACAATAGTTAACCATGTGGAAACATTTCATTTTCTTAAAAGAAAGATGAAAGACAAGTTAAAGTGGAGTTTGCATTGAGTCAAGTAAGCTCGTGAAACAGAGGTGAGCCAACCCAGATGTAAAGTCACGACTTGGGCTCTTTATACACCTCCTGATAGAGATAAGGGCTGCTGTGTGGGTTGAAGTCCTGACTTGTCTGTATAGTATGGCTCCTTGGACAAATGTTCTTCCCATTCTTCATGTTTTATTGCTTTATATCTGCACTGCTGGTTTTGTTTTAGAATGACAGACAGACAGACAGACAGACAGACAGACAGACAGACAGACAGACAGACAGACAAAGCATTAGATTCCAAAAATCAGTTCAAATGTATTTGAATGCTTCAGCTGTTTCATCCCTTCAACAAACAAGTAATTATTCTGGCTGATCCGTTCACAACTAAACTGACTCATACCCTCCAGAACCACCAATAATGGTGGGAAAGGTGTTCTGTTCGTGCGTTACACATCTATCCACACATTGCACATTTCAGACCTAACTTACACATGAATGAACACACATTCGACTCTGCAATCCCCTCCACCTCTCCTGCTCTGCAACATCAGAATACTGTATTCAAGGATGGTTCTAAAAGGGAAACCCCCCATGCCTCTTCATCACTCCCCCTCACCACCACCGCCACCACCTGCTCCTCTGATCCCCCCCCCTCAACCCACGCATTCCCCTCCTCCCCCTCTCCCTCATCAGACTTTCCTATCTACAGAGCAGCTCCAGGCAGCGTTCTGAATGTGTGAGAGATGCCGATGACTCATCGGGTACCTCTCTGCTCACGATTAGGAAGGTTTTTCTGTTTCGCACTTATTATACGAGACTAAACAAATGTGTTGCCAGAAGCTGATAAGTGTGAAGTAATTTTGACGGAGCAGACCTTAACTGTTTGAATACAGCCTTAAGCTAAAAATGTTTTACTACTACAACTCTCACTTTGGTAGGAAATCACAAGGAACAATTATATAGTGTATATATTCTCCCTTGTAATGCACAAAACTGAAGCAAATCAAGAGAGTGTGACCCAAAAGTGTATGTGCAAGAAGATATACCCAGAAGAGGAGTGATGATGTCATGAAAACCACATGGAAAGAAAAGTAAAAAGTAAAAATGAGACGGACAAAAGGAAGGAGACATTGAAGTAGACACAGTTAGAGCTAAAGGAGATTAATGT